AGTCGCACGAGAATACTTCAATAATTGACGTCAAGCGTGAAGGGCCATTTTGAACGCGGCTTCTAGCGCGGCGGCAGCTGATCGTCAGAATCATCTGAATCGATGGCACAAAGAAGCACCAAAGCAGAAGCTGCTGCTGTGGCCGGCGCGTATGCCGTCCTGCAAGGGTCTAGCCCTGTAGCAGAACGCAACCGCCAAATCCAGAGAACACGAGATGGTTCGCGCGGCTGATGAACCGACTACGGTAGAGCGACGGCGATGAGACGGCGATCCAAAATGGCAACGATTCAAGGGGCGAGCGGAGCCAGCGGATCTGAGCCTGGCCGCCTATACTTCGTTTCAGCTTCGGTCCAGACGCAGCCGCGCGAGCATATGGCCCAGAACAGTGCTTGCACTGCACGAGCGCGCGTGCTTGGCAGGGATGCTGAAAGCCCGGAGCTCGCGCTTGTAGCTTAGCCGAGTCGGCCGGGCAGACGAGGGCGAGAGAGAGAGGGAGGCAGCGCGCAGGAGAGGAGGCAATTTGTGTTCTTCCAACACGCTTTCTCGGTGTGACAGGATGTTCCCCGAGTGTCGGAGAACAAGTTGGGAAACATGGTTTTCGGACTTCAGCAACATGTTTCCGGACTGTTGCTGTTTCCGCAATGTGACAGGGTCCCCGAAAACATGTTTTCCTCATGTTGAAGGACAAAGTTCTCCGACTGTTTCCGCAGTGTGACAGGGTGCTTCTTTGTGCCATCGATTCAGATGATTTTGACGATCAGCTGCCGCCGCGCAAGAAGCCGCGTTCGAAATTGCCCTTCACGCTTGACGTTATTATTGAAGTATTCTCGTGCGACTATCTGTACAGAAAAATTTAGATGTTCCCGTGTTGCTGGAAAAACAATTCGCTGAGCCACCGAAATGGGCAACACGTGTCGTCCGACACAAGTTGTCGAGGTTTCCGTTGCCAAAAGCTGTCACACCGAGACAACATTGTCGCTGTCGTCCATGTTGTGTTGCTGTTTCCTCAATGTGACAGGGTTGTCGGGCAACAGAGCCGACAGCCGACATGTTTCCCCACTGTTGAGAAACATGTTTTGTTCATGTTTCCGCCGTGTTTCCTCAATGTGACAGGGCCTTAAGGAGCTTCGCCCCTAAAAGTATATCGTTACATTCTGCTCCGACATCATCTTAGCAAAACTGCTCCATTGGAACCGTGTTATTTTTCGCAGATCGTTGATAAAATATGAACTAGCGGAGAAAATGAGGCTCCGCGCCATCATATTCTCAACGCTACAAATGCGGATGAACAATATAAACCAATACATGCATAATATCAAATAAAGGATTGCAGTGCCTTTTGAACAACATCAATCCCAGAGAACAGTGTTCAGAAAAAGATGAGTATTGATCTGCCAAAAAGTACCTAAACTGCCACATTCAGTGGGACCGCGGCCTTAATGCACATTATTTCGCCACCTCTGTACAAAATCTTAGCTCAATGTGCTCAAAAACTGGTATATGCGGTCCCTTCAAAAAAACGATTCCTTTGACTCACGCTTTGCATTTAAATTTAACTAGTCTTTGGAACGTTTTTGGGATCTTGATTTTGTCCTTACTGTAGAGTGCGCTAGTGCCGCACGCAGGTTGATAATGCTCTGTCGGAGACCCTGTATATTTCAAATAATTTCGAAAGTGACGCTGCCTTCTGTTACCGTCTTTCTGGCTGGCCACTTTGCCGCTGCATTCGTTCGGAAAGACGTCACGCCTTATCTGCGGACGGACTCTGTCAGAAGTATTCGGCAGTAACTAAGCCTTCATTTCGACGTGGTCGTGACCTACAGCAAGAAAGCTTCGGGCACTTCGACCGCCTCAACATCGACGTGGGTGCAGTGGTGTAGCCGGGGGGTAGGCTTACGCTCTCACGAAAAAAGGGTGTAAAATGGTGTATCGTATCGTTACACCCCTTGTCCCATATAATACACCCCAAAACTTCAATTCGTCTTACAGCGCCCTACAGTCGAACAGACGGCCCGAAATTTTACAAGGGGCTTGATAGCCTTGTGGTACAACTTATTAAAATGGCTAATGTACGTTTTACTGACAACAACAAAAAATATTGGGGTTGTCTTGGCCCTACTATAAAAACTCGGTGTTTTTTTATGTGGTCTTTGATACGTACTTTAGCTATTTAAAAAGTTGTACCACACGGCTATCAAGACCATCGTAAAATTTCGGGCCGTCTGTTCGACTGTAGGGCGCTGTACGTCGAATTGAAGTTTTGGGGTGTATTATATGGAACAAAGGGTGTAAGGATACACCCTTTTACACCCTTTTTTCTTGACATTGTATGGGGCCCCTCAGCCCCTTTCCCCCGCTCTTAAGTCAGCCGACCCTATAATGCACATGCATTTGGAACCCCCCTCCCCCACCCTCCGCCACCAAGTCATGGACATCCCAGCCACCTCAGCCCCTCCCCCCCCCCCCCCCCCCCGCAAATATATTCCTGTCTACGTCACTATATGGGTGGGCCACCTCGCCGACAGCCCGACCGTTTACAAACCGACTGCTCGAGTCTGACAAGCTCACAAGCCCAGTACACAGCTTCCTGGCCCATTCGGCTCAGCTTTTCGTGAACTCTGCCTACGCTTCGCGTCTTCACCTAGCACCACGTGAGGTACAGGTGCGGACTCTTCTTTATTTCATGGGAACAGAGGCTCGACCCCTCCTCAGCAGGCTCTGCCTGGACGACGCGGCGCTGATAAACTGCAACGTTGTTGTCACGCGTTCATTGGAGCACTTCGTGCTCCGATCAACGCGTTAGGCATCAATGGCGTTTACGGATCGTCTAGATTTCACAAGGTCCAACAGACTGGAGAAAGCATAGACAGCTACTACGCTGAGCTGTGTTGGCTTCTCAAACGACGCAACCATCCGTCGCCTGACGTCGAAGAGCGCCTTTTCCGCGACATATTCGTTGTTTGTCTTGGAAAGGCGCGGTTTTTTGACCAGTTCTGCCGAAACACGAAACGCAGCCTCAAAGAAGCGTGGGTGCAGGAATGGCAGGCCGAAGAGGCCGAGACAAAAAAGCTCTCGAAAGTCAAGAGCACGCCGCAGATATAAACGTTCAAGCAGCAAAGTCTCGCTGTGGCCCGCCGCACCAGTGCAAGAGAACGAAGCTTTCGGGAGATGTGGCAGCGTTTGCAATCCGTGGAGATAACACCGCTGACTCTGCGATTACTGCGCCCAAGCTGTTCACGCGCGTTCGAAGCTGGACAGGAAGAAAGACCACTCCGCGGACGTCTGTTCCGCTCGCAAGTGGAAGCAGAGCAAGGTGGCGACCCTACAGCTTCACGCAGTCCTGAAGCCTGGAAAGGCCAAGCACGTTGAGGTGAGGGTCGACAATTAGACTGAAGCATTCAAGGTAGGCTCCGGCACTGAGGTGGACTCCGGCCCCTGACAAATGCCAGTATTAACTCACTTATGGGCGAACTGGGAGAGGTGTGCGTCGTGCCGAGTCAACCTGACGAAACCTCTTAGCACAAGCTTTCCGGGCAATCCATGGGAAGTCCTTTGCGTTGACCTCTTTCACTTAGACGGCCAAATCTTCGTCCTGCCGGTCAACTACTACTCCGGCTACCAAGAGTTGGGTACGCTGGGAAGCATCACTGTTGGGAAAGTAATCAACGTTCTCAAAAGCATGTTTGTTGGCCACGGAATCTCCAAGGCCGTGCGATCCGCGAACCACCCTGCGTTTTTGTCAGTAGTTTGCAAGATTCGCGAATTCGTAAGACTTGGCTCACGTAACAAGCAGCCCAAAGTTTCCCAGTCGAATGGAGAGGTAGAAGAGATGATTTGTACCAGCAAGAACCTCTTCCGCAAGAGGAAAAACTTTACTTGGCACTCCTAACCTACCGGAACACGCCCGGTGTCACAAGCCCTGAGCAACTGCTCATGAATGCCAAATCAGAACGCGGCTACCGAAGACGGAGGAGCGGCTGCAGCCCCTTTGCCCAAAGAGAGACATCGTGGCTGCCAGGGATGCCAGTTACCGCAAAAAGCAGGCTGTCAGCTTCGATAACCTCACCGGGCCCGAGAACTTCCAAAGCTTCAGGTGGACACCCGTGTCTGGGTGCAGCCGGATCGACAGTAGGCAACTGTTCTAAGTCCGGCAGAGTGTCCAACGTCCTACGTGGTTAAGGTGCACACTGAAGCGGTTCTTCAGCACAACCGGAGAAGTTTGGTGCCGTATCGCCAACGCGAAAGTTCACCGCTGCAGACCATGCCGGCTCCGGCTGACCGGTCGGTCAAGCTTCAACATCCCATGGTGGTTCGGACACCGTTGGTCCTGCTGTCTCGCCCTTTCGTGCAGTTCCTTCACCGTCTGTGCCGTCGCTGCCATCGAGGGCATCACCAAGAGCTATTGGAGTCGACACGGGCCTCAGGTAAACCACTCGTTCCGGGAGACATGTGATTTCTCCCTAAAGACAACTTGTGATATTCAGCTAAAATGTGTTATGTCTTGTTTTGCTCACTTTAGAGTGTCGCTCTGTCTTTCCAACAGTATCAGGATCTCAGGAAGAAGATGTAGTGGGTGCTAGTGCCGAACCCAGGTTGATAACACTGTGTCGGAAACCTTGAGTATAATGAATACTTTTCAAAGTAAAGCTTTCGTCTGTTCCCGTCTTTCCGGCTTGTCACTTCGTCGCTGCCGGTGGTCCGAAAGGCGTTACCCCTTACCTGCCGACGGACTACGCCCCGACACTCACCACCTACTCCTTTCGTGTTATTTCTGCCTGGCCGTTACATAGTTCTCTTCGGTTCAATAGCTGAAACAAATACACTTATAATTTATTTTACGCTATCATCGCGTTCATAACTGCAATTAAAAAAAGCTTGGTGAAATATATATACTGAACATTGTGATTGTTGTGCTTGGAAGTCGGCGTAGTTCATAATGTGTTTCTTATTTGCATCAGTGCCCGGACTTCATGCCAACATTTATATTGTCGTCCTTCTAGTATGGGGGCCGTGGAAGACGGTCAAGGCCCTCCTGGTTGGGATTATGTTCAAGGAAGCGATGGGGCATCATGGTGTGACTACGATGACGGCTATCTTATGGGAAAGCCGAATGGAAGAAACAGCGAAACTCTCTCCAGATGCAGTGCGTCCTCGTACATACTGGGTATAAGGTACGTGCACCTGAGCTTATTGATTTACATCGTCCCCAATCCCTAGTACATCTTTGGAGTTTGTATGATGCTAGTGTGTCGAACTTAGGTGAACAAAAACAACTCAGTGCAGATAGAGCTATTAAAGGGGCCCTGCAATCATATTTAAGCGTCTACCTTTTTGCGGTTTCCACATCTCTCGGAGTTCGGGCAAGCCAGCGGGCACGAAGGGAATAACTAAACATCAGTGCGTCATATTTTAACCGGACGACGCGGTAACCTTCTCCACCTACGGGGGCGAACTGCGGTGCCGAAAGCGCGCGAAATGTGACGTCTTTGGTCTTGGCCTTACTGCTGGTCGGAGCCCCTGAATGGTTCTTTTTAGTCGAAATACAAAATATAAGTGGCGGGAATTGTATTAATTATGTATGAAAGTAGTTTTTAGAGCGCAGCTCTTTGGCGCCGGCTTCAGGCTTGAGCGGCGTCGGCGTAACCGCGCGGTGCATTATGGGTAAATTTCCCCGCTAAATTTAGCGGAAACATTTCCCCGTTAAATTTAGCGGAAAAATCTCCCCGCTCAATGTAACGAAAAAACTTCCCCGCTAACTTAGCGTAAAAATTTCCACCCCTAAATCTAGCGGAAAAATTTCCCCACTAAATCTAGCGGAAAAGTTTCCCCGCCAGATCTAGCAGAAAAATTTCTCTGGGGAGTCACGTGACCCCCCCCCCCCTCAAGGTCACGTGACACCCCCCTCCCCCGAGGTCACGTGACCCCCCCCCCCCCCCCTCAGTACCCTTCCCTACTCCTCCTCAAGAGCTGCGCTCTAATTTGGCGTTACAGGGAGTTGTAAACGGCTTCCACTTTTTTGTTTCCACTATTTTAGATCAGAAAAGTAACAATGGAGTTTATAAAGTACGGAAACAAGAAATGACCCGTCGACATGCCCCCCACCAAGCGGTGGAAAAGGCGGTCCATACTAGAAAGGGGTAGTGAGATGAGGCGCCAACGCGGAAAGGTCCCGGATGTACGCGGCGGCGCTACGGTCGAGGATCCGACCGGTTCCAAGCGTTTTGAAGGCCTTCGGAGCAGGTTTGGCTTGCGGTTTGTCGTTATGGCAGCGTGGAGTGGCTCCCGTTCTGAACTGACCTTTCCCCCGTGTTCGCTGTCGTTTGTGGCCAATGAAGTGTCATGCCGAATTAGTATTTAATCGTGCAGCAAATGCAATGCGAGCTGCCCTGGCTGCCCGCTTCATACAGCCTATTCAGAACATGCTTTAGTGACGCCCTCTCGAATTGTCGACACGGAGTGCGGCACCCGTGAGCGCTCTCGCAGAGCTCACTACCCCTCCTCCAGTTCACGGCCACTCAAGCGACCAAAGACGTCAAGAAGGAGGTCATTTTTGCTCGTTTTTGTAAATTTAATTTTCTTATAACTTCTAAAAAAAGCGAAGTTTGAGAAAAAAAAGTTTCATTAAATTACCACGTTCAGTCCGCTCAGGTTCGATGCAAACTAAAAACAAGCAAAAAAAGTCCTTGCAGGGCCCCTTTACGTAATAAAGTAATGCTGTTTCAAAATAACTATAAGAAATAATGTTCAGACTTGAGCAATAATATTAAGAGACCACTGATAATTTTATAATTACTTAAATAATATTTTAGCTTAGTTACAGAACATCGGCACGCACATGACAACGCCATCCGCGTTGTACTCTCACTATATCCCTCTGTTCCTCCACCACAGGCAGCACATAATGAAACCATACTGTGGAATTGGGGGCCAATATATGTTCTAATGTTTTAAGGGGGCTTGTCCCATGGGTCCTGAAAGGAATTTCTAAAAGGGGTGTGAAAAAATCCAATCGGGCAGCCCCCCCCCCCCCCCGGGTCAAATGTCAAAGCTACTCAGCCTCGTACGGAACTTATTACAAGTAATGAAATTACTTGTAATCGATTACCATGTGGAGTAATTTTGCCCCGAACCATGTCTCGACAGGAGAATGGTTTACCGAAATTGGAGGAATAAAAAGATAAGTAATTCATACTTTGGTGATTCTTATAAAAAAATATATGGTACGAAAGGCACGTTCTCAAAGCAGCAGAAAAATCGTTCTCTTTGAAAAACTGAAGTAATCGTAAAAGTAAGGGTTACAATTTAAATAAACGGCAAAAGTACTTTTCTTATTGGATAATCAAGTATTCTACTTGAATATTTTTAACGAACAGTAATTTATATTGGAAGTGACTACTTTTCTTTTAGTAACGTGTACGAGATCTCTGGCAATGACAAACATCGCCTTTTTGTGGTTTTAGTGACATATTTGTAATCTTGTATCCTAGGAGTAATCACAAATCTGGCTTACAAAATACTGTAAAGCTTCAGTCTTATACAAGTGCTATATACCGGCCCTAACTTATATAAATTTATTTTCACGAAAGCATTTTTATATAAAAATAAGTTTTGCTGTCTTTGAACCTGTGTTTAAAAAAATCATGTTTTATGTATTTAGTATTTTTTACTATTTCAAATTATGTTAACTTTCTACTGCCTTAATCAAATATGTATTTTCTTGTATTTTTGTAGAAGTGGACAATGGACAATAGACCCGAATCGACGAAACAGTAGTTTCGCTGGTTGACTTTACTTTATGCAAGGCATTTTAGGCTTTCAATTCCAAGGGCAGTGGCGTGTCAAGCTTTAATGAGGTGACGGGGCAACGGGAGCTGGCCTTGGAGGCGCTAGGAAGGGGAAAGGGTTTTGTGAACATACCACCATCAAATATTAATGTCTGACCCCACCCCTCCACAATTTCGACTACATCCACTGGCTACGCTTGCTTTTTTCCCTTTAATTTGAATCGGGAGACTTGAGTCGTCTGAATAGTGTGCGTTATTTCACTTTAGTTTACATGATATTCGCGTATCACTTATTTTCTATGTTTTCAATTCGTTTTTTTTCCCCCTACCGAAGATTTTTAGGACTAAGATTAGATAATAGACCCTTTAAAATTATGAGCCATTCCACTCAGTGAAGGTGAATGACCAGACAAGCTGCTTATCACACGACACGAACCCGCCCCCAGGAGCTGGAGGGAACTAGACACGCGTGACGGGGCCGCCACCCGACTGAAAGTAGACACTCGCGATAGGACCGCCACCCCCGGGAAAGCGGAAGGAAAGGAAACTAGGCCCACAAGCACTTGGAACGACGACAAGGAGAGGGCAGTGCGAGCTTTGTCATGGCCGGCCGCGGGTCGCACAGCGGCAAATCTTTGCGAAACCTTTATTATCTACCTGAGAGTCCACCCCATACAAAAAGGGTCTATGGTCGTCTATGGAAAATTATATGGCAGGCTATAACCCCCTATGGCTTTCCACGGTTGGCCATAGAAATCCATAAGGACAGCTACAGTCAGCTATAGAAAAATCTATGGCGCTGGGTCTAAGGACTGGGAACCAATACATTTTCTTTACCCGCCTATAGAAAATTCTATGGTCACAAGTCTCAAATTTCGGAAACAATAAATTGTCTTCAACTGTCTGTAGAAAATATTATGGCCCTGAGTCTAAAGGCTGGGAACCAATAAAATTTTTTTAGACGCCTATAAAAATTGTAGGGCCACATGTCTAAAGAGAGCGAACCAATAAATGTTCTTCACCCGCCTCTAGAAAATTCTTTGGCCCCGAGTGGAAATTAATAAGTTGTCTTTACCCGTCTATAGACAAATTTATGGCCCCGAGTCTAAAGACTAAGAACCAATTAATTTTCTTTCCACGCCTATAGAAAATCACTACCGGCGCTTACTTGACTAACAAACAATAAATTTTCTTTCCACGCCTGTAGAAAATCACTACCGGCGCTTACTTTTTTAATAAAAACACTCCACGTTAAAAAATAAATCAATACTAAATTTCTGTAATGCCGGTGACAAACCATGACCCGAAATATGTTCTCTGCTGTTGCAACGAGTTGTGAAAACCAGTAATATTGTTTGTTTGAAAAATCCATTAAAATACTTGTGCAACAATTAAAATTAGTTATTACTCCCCAAAAGTGAAAATAAATTACACTGGCGCCGAACACTGCAATCAAGCAATAGCTTGATTGCCATCTTCAGCTCCAGTGTACTGTATGTCATCACTGCATTGTCAACTTGATTTATCAAACTTATTAAAATATAAATAATAAATTTTAGTTTATTAGCCTAATTATCTTTATTTGCTTTTTTCAGGGTGTTGAATTATGAGATGGGGGCTATTCCAAGAGACAATTCAAATAATGTATCAAGTGCGAGTAATATTTGCTCCGCCTCTCCGTGTTTTTGCTACAAATCATGGGTCGCCGGCAAAGTCGGATTCAAAAATTAGTTTGCCATGTATACAGCTAGTGCGAACATGGCATATGTAGAGAGGGGTCCGTTGTCGCTGTGTAGTGTGAGGTAGTGTTCTGCTTGTGTTCTGTGTGTTCAGAGATGAATGTGTATCTACTACGTAGCATTCACAAGTCGGGGGAACTTGAAGTAAAAGTTTTTGTAGAGTTTGCTAGCTAAAGAGAGCCTTAGGCTAAGCCATAGAGAAGTCTTTAGCCAACCGTTTGACAAGCTAAAGAGCGCTATGGCTGGACAGCGATAGGGCCATAGACAAAGCTAAAGACGCCCACAAAGGCGACAATAAAAATGCTAAAGACAGCCATAGAAAATTCCTTAGCTAATTGGGCCAAAAAGCTAAAGCCGACCATACAAAGAATTTTCTATAGCCGACCATAGGACGTTTTTGCATGGGACTCATGTTGAACATGGTGCCTATTGATAACTAATCTACGGAATAGACCCATTGTTAAATTATCCAATCATCAAAAAGAAAGCAGGGAATGGTGTTCCACGCGCGGCACGTGCCGGCGTTCGCAGCAGTAACTGTTCTAAAGCAAAAGCCTAAAACAAATGACACCTTGCAGGCGCGTTCATCAACGCTTTATTTTGGTTATTTACTTCGAATCGTTTTTACGGAGAAGGCGTGCGCGTGCG